AAAGGTGCAAGTTCCCAGGTATCTGATCACGCTAATTCGTCTCTTGTGTTTTTTAGCAAAATCAAGATGGGAGGGAGAATGATTTTGGGAGGGGAGATGAATAAAGCCTCCCCTGAAAAAGTGTTCCCCTGATTACCTTTGAATTTGGGGGTTCTTTTCTAGAGCTCATGGAGTGTTGGAGAGACCTGGCAATTGCCACAGAATATAGCAGAAATACACACAAAAATATGGCAGAAAAGGCTGTGCATATCATTGATAATTGCACTGTTACTCTCAGCAAACAGACTGAGTGCAGTGCTGGCTGGATTTACATTCAGGATCCTCAGAGCAGCAAAAAGGTTTTGTGTGCTCTGACTCACAGAGCTGATTTTAAAGAAAATGGGCATTTTTAAAATCCTATTTTCCTTCCATTTTCAACCCCCTTTGATGAAGACACTTGAAACACCTTTTTAACTCTACATTTTAAATGCTTTTTTATAGCCATGAAATACACCCTTGTGTGGTTTTCAGGTCTTTTTAATTTTTAAAAGCCCTCCTTATTGCTGCTGCATAAGGAGAAATTTTTAGATTATGAGAAGAAGCAAATGTGACATTCTGTTCCGTATTAAAAGTTAATTTAGGGCAGAACTGCAGACCAAGAAGTGTCTTTTCTTTTCCTATACCTCCTTGTAATGTAATTGACCCCTAATACCTCTGGAAGATCTGGCACTGAGACAGAGGGAACCAACTGCCCAGGGGCACAGTGTGAACACAGCGGGAGGAATTTGCCCGACTGGAATCAGATTTGTGATATTTGAGGGTTTTAAAGCATGTTACAGCATGCTTTTGTGTCAAGCAGAGCTGGTGGTGGCAGGTTGGGCAGCAGTGAGGTGGTGCAGGTTCCCAGGAGGGCAGAGCAGGAGGTGTCAGGTCAGAGGGGCGTGAGCTGGGCTCCAGCCCAGATCCAGATTCCGAGTCTGGCCCTGGTGAGTCCTGATGCAGGGCAGAGCTCAGGGCCCAGGGTGAGCCCTGAGTTGATTTGTGTACAGGAATACCTCAGTCCCGTGCCGACTTTGGCACAGCAGGTTATTAAAAGTGACGAGTTAATTCCGATTGTGGTCCTGGAAACAAGGTTTTCCCCAGGACAGCTCATGTCATGGCTGCGATTGATAAAAGCCTTTTCTGTACTCCCCTCTTGAGAGAACAGGTTTGTGTAAACATCCAGGTGGGTCATAGCTTTGTAGAGGACAAAATACAGCTTTGTGTGAAGCAGAACCTCTCTCAGGTCTTTGCCAAGCCTGAGGTGGGCACAGGCATCCTCTGTCCCTCCGAGCCCAGGGATGGAGGGGCAGCACGGCCACCTCCTGGCACTGGATCAGCCGAATTTCCTCATCAGAGGTACCAACTGGAGGGTTGCTGCTGAGGCTTAATTATGCAATTGTAATTTTCTATAAAATGCATCATGAAACCTATTCATGCCTTATATTGGCATGGAAGAGTTACTCCGGCCTCGCTGGCTTAGAATGCCCACTTTAGGAAATTGCCTAAATCTGTATTTTTCTTGGAGCAGTGCTGATCAGCCCCACAGGTTGCTAATAAATATTTCATAGCCTTCTATGAAGGAGTATGAAAATAATTTGAATATCTAAATGACTGGCTCTCCTTGGCCTAAGCAGAGCCCAGAAGCAGGCTCTTGTTCATTTCTCTGACTTGTCATGGTGTGCCATCAGATTGCCCAAAATTGTAGCCCCTGTATAAACACTGTCCTGTTCTTACTGACTTTGAATTTCTTTTGCCATTATATCTGATTTTTTTTTTAGCTCTAGTGGGTAAAATACATTTTTGTACTTCGACACCACTTAGAGTGAAGGATTTAAAAATACCTCACACACATTGATTTAGCACAAGCTACTTCATCTGGGTCGAGGAACTGCTTTTCACTATTTCACAGTCACAAGGGTGGGAGGAGAACCCGTTTCCACCTGCCTCAATCCTCACAGTTTTTATATGTCCCATACAACAGAAAAGAAATTAGAAGGGGAAGACAGAGAGGCTGACACAGCAATCACCGTGGCTGAGATAGTGGGCATACTTAGCACAGATTTCCTACAATTTTAAATTTTTTTGTGAACCTTCACCGAGCAAATCCACGCGAATGACGTTTCAGCCCCGAGGAGTGCCTGACCCTGCTGTGCTGGGCAGGGCTGCCTGGAGCCCTGACCCCCAGAGCAGGGCAGAGCAGGGCAGCTGCAGGAGCCAGGTGTGTGTCCCTGGGCTGGAGCTCAGCCTGGGAAGGAGGACACCGCGGTGGCCACGCCAGGATCTCCTGGGAGCTCTGGCCCTGGGCTACCTGGGGGGACCTGGCTCCTCCTCACAGGGAGGTTACTCACAGCAGCAACTTGGATGCTTGATGATATTTGTAGGCTTTTAGGGCTCTTCACTCTGCTAATTTGACATTATTGAAGTTCTATTTCCCCAACTGTGCTGTGGGCTAAAGCGAGAATGACAGCTTGCTTGTTATTTGCGTGTGCAATATTTATGTATGTAAATGACTGGTGTGTTTGCCTTTATCCCTCCATATAAATACAAGAGATGTATACAAATATAATGAGGAGGTACAGGAAGCTCATTTTGTTTAAGCAAAACGTGGAGCATTAAGCCATCATGCCCTGACACTTGTTCTGTGCTGGAAGACAAAAAGGGAAGCGTCTGGCTTTTGTTGGGAGACATGAAAGTTGCTGCTGCTTTCCATGTTGGATATTACGGCTTCAGTACGCCAGAATCATTGGGGGTTTTATTACTATTATTTTTCCTTTTGGTGAAGCCTGAGAAAAGACAAAGACTAAAAATAAAACCCATAATTTTTGATACAACTGTGGAAACATGGTTAGTTCTAACACAGCAGGTGGCTAAGGGACTCGATCGGCAGAAACCAGCAGTGCTTTCAGTGCAATCAAAGTTAAGTGCAGAAATTTAATTAAATGGTAGCAAGGCTGGCAGAAACTTTGTAAAGCAGCAGTGCATTGTCAAATCTAACAATTATTCCAAGGAACACAATCCACAGATGGCGCCTAATTGATAAATTAAGGTTCTGGTGCCTGATTCCGCTTACACTTAAAGGTTCTCTTTTCTTAAACAAAACCTTAAAATTTTAAGGCTGCATCACTGTTCTGAAAACATGACAAGCTGGGCTGGGTTTTTTGGCTTTGTGTTAAAGGAGAAGGCGTTTGGCTTCTATTTTCCTTGTGTGTCTTTCATTCAGGGGAGGATGTGGTGCATTGCTGGTAAGGTGCTTATCTGGAATCTCAGGTATTTAGACCTCCCGTAGCTGTTGGGGCAGGTAGTCTCATAATCTCTCCCAGCTTTTACAAGACTTTTCCTTTGCCTGTCTGCCCCTTGAAGCTGTCTGTCGATTTTTGGGCATCATCAGCAAATGCAAACCCTTCGGAGCTCCTGCCCTGCTTGACAAGTCCTTTCCAGCGCTGGGCTGGTGGCCCTGGAGGACCAGACTGGAAGGAAGGGGCTCACATCTCTTTGCTGGGATCACATTGCACATTTTGGAAGGGGTTCTGGGCTGCTTTTCTGTTTCCCCCTTGCCTGGGGGTTGGTGAGAGCCCCCAGCACTTCGTGTTGGTGTGAGGGGACCCAGAGTGTATTGCCAGGTCCTGCAGCAGCCCAAGAACAGCTCCAGGTGACATCCTGGATGCCTGTAGAGTTTAGTAAAATAAACAGACAGGCTTTATTTTCCCTCTTTCTGAACTCTGGATATGTGGGGATATTTTGTCTCTGTGTGTTTTTTATTTCCATGTGTAAATACAGTTCACTTCCCAGGGTTTAGCATAGCACTTCAGAGAAGGGGCAGGAAAGATTGAATCCAGCTTTTCAAATACACTTGGCATGTTGTCCTCTAACGCTGGAGAGGGTCTTTTCCCCTAAGCAAGTGGCACTTTCCCTCCCAGAGTAGTGTTTTGAACAAGGATGGGAGTTGAAAGGGCATCAGAGCACATAATAGCTGTGTGGAGTATGGAGATAGACACACACCTGTGTGCACAATAAGTGTTTGTCCCTTGCTGAAAAAGGAAGAAAATTGTTTGCCTTCCAATTCAGTATTTTCTTCTTTATTTAAGCAATTTTAGAAGATGGATGCAAAAGGGAAATGATAGTTTCATTGTATTTGTTGTAAACCAAGGGCACAGACGCCCTAATTGCTCTTGTGAGATTTTTGTGTGTGCTTTTTGGCGTTGCCCATGTGGTAGTAAATTCTCCATCAGCTGGATTCTCTGTGATGGAGCTGAGGCCGTTCTGAGCGAAGGAGCTGAATCAGTGCTTGTTATTTTTGGTTACTAACAGTATACTTGAATTCAGGAACTCGCCCGCTCCCTTCCCCCTTTCTCCCCTCCTGTGCCTAAATTTATCCCACCAGTCAATCAGCACTGGCAGGCATCAGTGCTATGGCTGTCAGATCGAGTTAGCTGTGGAGAGCCAGAGCTGCTGGCTTGGGTTTTTGGGCTTGAAAATGTATTCAAATAGTGGCATTGTCATTTGACTTGCAAATAAGTATAGTCTGGTAATGGGGCCCTTGTATAGAAAGAATGATGCAGCACTTCAGACAAATCTATGTCTTCTTCCCATGAAGCAGATTAGCAATAATACAATCCACACTGGTGTTTATGGCTGCATGCTCAGTGAACACAGACATTTCTGAATTTTCATTAATGGTGGATTTGTAGTTTTTAATGGAACAAAGAAAAAACACTGGAAATCAAAGAAATGCTAATGCCTTCCTGAGAAACTTGGACAACATTTGGTTTAGGGGCAAATCTGCTCTGGTTGGCATTTCCCCCTCTTAGTTCTTCTCCCCTTATCTGGGCTTGTTGGGTGGTTGGTTGCTGGAGAGCAGCACTTAAGTGAGCACATTATCTTTGTTGCTGCTCCTTCCCAAAGCGAAGGGACTGGCCTTTGGTGACGGCATAGCGATTGCCACAGCAACCAGGCAGGATGTCACAGATTCACAAGTGTGATTTTACATTCAGAACAGCAGCAGGAGCAGATGGATATTGGAAACAAAGTCCCCACCCCCTCCCTTTGCCTCCTTGTGCTCCTTCCCAAAGCTGGAACAGCCCTTCCCACCAGGGCTCTTTGTGATTGTCCTGCCCGAGTGCCAGGGGTGGGTTCAGCAGGGAGTGCTGGGCTGCAGCGTGCTGGTGCCACTGCCCTGGCAGTGCCACCGTGCCCCTTTGTGACTTTGGGACTCACAGAGGGAGAACCAGCTCCCTCGGGAGCTTGGGCTCAGCTTACCTTGGATCTTGTTCCATTAACTTTGGTGGTGGCTTTATTCTTTTAATCCTGAACTTAGCAGAATGAGCAAGCCAAGCCTCGCCGTGGGTAGTCAGACACATTTGGGAGCTATCGTGCACAGAAGTTGATTGTAACACCCACCCACCGTGTGGGCAACAGCCTCGGGAACATATGCTCGGTCTGTTTTCCCAAAAAAGACACTATTGGAAACAGATGCAGGAAGGGGTTTGTGCTCAGTAAAATTTGAGGTCGGGGCCTCTGGTTTGAAGCACAGGGATCTTGTTCAGCATCCCAGCTGAGGCTCTGTGGGCATGCCCCAGGTGCAGGGGGTGCAGGAGAACCTGAGCTCGCCGGTCCCTTGTCACGGCCACCTCTGCTCTTCCCATCCTCCCCGTGTCACGGTGACCCTGCCACTCCTCTGGGAGCCTGACTGATGGCCTGGTACTGCAGTTCAAGTCCCCGGGTGCTGGCCAGTGTGCCAGAGCCGTGCAGGTGGCCAGGGGTGCCTCTGGATGTACCCCAGGGCCAGGTGAGCCTGTGCTCCGAGCTGGCTCTTGGTTCCTGCAAAGCCCTGAGCAGACCCTCCTGCCAGACTCTCACCGAGCAGACACCTTGGACTTCTGTGTGCCACAGCCACTTTGGTGCTGATTCGAGAGAGAAACAGAACTCAGGAGCCCTGGAGCACAGATGACTTGCCCAGACCTGGCCAGGTTTCCTCAGAGACTCCTTATTCTGCTGAAAATTGTAGGCTTCGCTCTAGTGGGCTGAGGCACTCTGAAATTATGCTCAAGTTTAAAGTTTCAAAGGAGTTAGGTATCAAATTTGCACTGACTTGGATTTCACTAAGAGCTGAGTATCTATTTTTGTCTTGCAAGCAGTAGGGTTGCAGACCAAGATCCCCTTGTATTTTTATTTTATTTGACTTTGAAAACACCAGCTCTGATCCTCTGCACAGTTACTGGTATGAAGCACATGAAATTTTAATTAGCTTGGGTGAAGGGAAGTTCTGGTAATTGATTTAATATATAAATGCCCCTCTGGTTTCTTTAGTTTATGTGCTGGAAAGATTGCATTAGAAATTTTCCTATAACAGGGGAGATTTAAATGCATTTTTAGGACTGTCTTGAAATCAAAAAGTGAAGTGCATCTAAACGATTTAGATGAAAGGTACTATTGATATTTCACTATTTCAGATAAAAGTAGATTATATCATTATTATTATTATTTCTGTTATTTTTTTCTATTAGTATCTTAATGGACCCAGTCAGTGAGTGCTGAAAAGTGAACAAAGGAGCATTAGTGCTGTACATCCAGACTGATCAGTCTGTGCTGGTGTCGCTGTGGTCGTGGCAGATCACAGGAATTTCCCTTGATGGGGCTCCCACCTTTACTGTCTCCTGCTGCCCACGTGCTCTGTGTTCACCTGTCTCCTCGGGTCTCACCTGTCTCCTCGGGTCTCACCTGTCTCCTCAGGTCTCACCTGTCTCCTCAGACTCCTGTCTCAGTTCAGACCCTGCTGCTGGCAGCTGGACTCCTTTGCTCACCTGTGCAGAGCTTTTGGCCTTTCCTTCTACCTCTGTCCCTGCACATAATTTCTGGTTTTCTTCTCTGCATTCTTTTGTGCTTCTTAACAAAACAATGAAAGAAAAAATCTCTCCGAACTCTCCCGAGTAGTTCCATAAGATGTAACACTGACACTGATATTAACACCTGCTCCACCTGGGAGAGGCTCTTGGTGCTGGGAGTGATCTCGGTGCTCCCCCAGTATTTTACAGACACACACTGAAAAGCGTCTTTATTCAGTTTGACTGTTGCTATTATGTGGCGAGGCATTCAATAAAAGTTGTGATTTATGAGATGTGTGTGGCCGTTGTTGTTTTTTGCTCTGTCATCTATCAGGGAGAGAAAAGCCAGGCCTGATAATTCTTGGCACTTGGTTTTTTCAGTTAAGAATGTCAGCTGTCAGGCTGTCAAGAGAAGTTATTTCTCTGGGTTTTTTTTTTTAATAGGCAGAGATCCTGCTTCATACTGTGCTGGGTTGATAAGGGAGTGCTTTCTGTGCTGCTGAAAAGTGTGTCCCATGGTAAGGCCCTTGGTGTGTGCCCACTTAAACTTCAGTGCTTTGTGTTTTCAGTGTGTGACAGCACTTGATTGCTTAATATACAAATGCATTCACTTTCTTTTTTTTGCAGCTTTTATGTGGTTTTTTCCTCCTCTTTTCCCTTTCTCTCCTTCTGAATGGAATAGAGGTTTTTTCCCCCTTCTCTGTGACTAGGTATTTAAAACATGCTCTTTTGCAAAATATGTGGACATTAGATAATCTGATGTTGCATAAAAGCTCTTTCATATTTTGGGGGCTTCATGCATGCATAAAACAGGCCTAATTGAAGATATAGGCTGTTTGTCACGAATGTGAATATAAGGATAGGGGACAGAGGGGAAGAATTATGTTAAATACCAGGGTGATGTGTTTTTTTCTGTTTTCCTTATTAGTTATTTGCAAAAATGTATCAAAAAGTCATTTTGATGCAGTGCACAATAGTATCACAAACTTGTGCTTTGCATCCTAAGTGCCTGGTTAGAGCACAGTTAGAAGCTGAAATCATTCCTCGATTAGTCCCTGGAGTCCTGTATGAGTCTTTAACTCTCAGCATGTGGTCTGTGATTTAACAGTGGATGAAGGATGGCTGAGCTGCAGCTCTGTGGAGAACCTCAAATTTTCCAATCTGCAGAGGAGCCATCAAAACCTTGCCAGAGCTGGCAGCATGTTTACCTCTGGGGCAGAGCTGGAGCTGGCGAGAGTGGCAGACTCTGGTGGGGAGCAGATCACTGTCAGAAGGAGGCAGGGGAGGTCTCTGGTGGCCCTGCAGCTCTTGGGTGCTGGGACGTGAGCCTGGCTCGCAGCTGTCATCGTGTGCTTGCAGGTACAGCTTGTGGAGGTCTTGTTTTGGTGAGTCAGTCCCCATGGAAAAGGAAAACATTTCCTATGTGTAATTCAGCCTGGACAGCTCGCTCACATGCTGTATATCACACTGAAGGTACGAGGCTGAAGAGGAGGGATAAAGGTTTGGTTGTTAGCCTCTATGAGCTGCTTTGATGTACAGCACTGTGTGTGTGGCTTACAGATGGTTCATAGGTCCTTACAGATGTTTTCATCCTGTGTCTGTCTGTCCAAGTCAAGGCACAGGGCTTCTAGACTTAAATTAAAATTCCCACTGTAGGTGCAGGTCTGGCAGCTCAGGAGGAACAAAATGCCCAGACAGGCAGCGGTGGTGTGCAGCTGTGGGGCCGGGCTGAGCTGGGTTTGTCCCTGCAGTGCCACAGCAGCCCTGGCTCTGGGAGGGCCCTGCTGGCAGAGGTGCTGCTGCTGCCTGCAGAGGTGCTGCTGCTGCCTGCAGAGGTGCTGCTGCTGCCTGCAGTGCTGCTGCTGCTGCCTGCAGTGCTGCTCCTGGCACTGCAGCCTCAGGAGCGCAGCAGGCAGATGTTAGCAGGGCTCACACTTGGCTTGAGTCGCACTGCACAAGTGGCTGTTCATGGGAAGTTGTCCCAGCTTTTCATGTCCTGCCAGACCTGGAAATCCAGTCATCTCAGTGACTTGGCCTTTTGATGTGACATTTTTGGCAGTGTTGTAATGATCTAGGTACTTGAAAGTCTGTGAGTGTATTGAGCTGTGATGGGCTTTGATACTGGCAGAGTTCTTGTGCTGGGGAAGATGGGGAAGGAGTGTATATCCAGCCAAGTGTTTATTTTCAGTAACATCAGTATTATTAGAGACCTCTTGGTATTATAGATCAGGCAAGAATGAATGTCTCCATCGTAGCTGGAGTTGCTCAGCACCTGCAGAGCACTTCTGGGCTGCTCACCTGGACAGGGAGCTGTGCTGGGACATGCCGAGGATCAGCTGCTGCTGTTCACAGCTTGGTTGGTAGCACAGAGCTTGGCTGTGCCTCTGGGGCTGGGCTCCCAGCCTGTGGCATGGGCTTAGTTCCCTCTTGTCTGGAGAAGTCCCTGAGCTGCTGTGGGGAGCCCTAGCCTGTGGTGACAGTGCTGGCTATCCTGGCACAGCTCCCTTGGGAAAGGAGCAGGAGAGGTGGCCTGCTGTGGTGGGCAGGTAAAGCTGAGCCCATCAAGGTGCTGCTCAGAGCTGGTTCCTTCCCCCTGGCTGCTGAGGGTGTACTGCCCCTGAACACAACATAAACAATCCTTTCCCACTGAACCTCCTGCCAAGTGCTTGGGGTTACAGTGTTAACAGCTTTAAATAAATTCCTCCTAGAGATAACTGATTTATTAGGCTCCTACCCTTCTGAAGGCAAAGCTAGTCACAATTAACAAACAAAGCAGCGTGGGGCAGTTATCATTGTGGGTAATAAATCTTTTGATGTTGGGTATGACTGGCTGAAGGGCTTGGAGAGCAAAACTCCAGAGCAAGTGTGACTTCAGCAGGGACTGACGTGACGCATCAGTGATTCTGTTTGTGTACAGGTGTGTGATGGAGGAGGAGGACCCTGGGCTTGTGCTGGGCAGGAGGCAGCCGTGCCAGTGTCCCTGCTGGTGTCAGTGGCACCGTGGGCAGCACCTTGGCTTCACACAGTGCTTTCCCAGTGTGTCTGCGCTCCTCGTTCTCAGCAGGACACCCAGGTGCAGAAACCAGGGATGTATCAGCTCTGGGTAGCAGGAGAAGGGCCCCTGTGTGGTGACCCAGCTGCTCTTTCAGCCTGCCCTCCTCCCTGGCTCTCAGTTCTGGTGGTACGTGGCTGAGAAATGAGCCCTCCAAGTCCTGCTTGGTAGAAGCTCTTGCTCCCTGGTGGCCTCTCTGTTTGAATAAACAATTGGTCCCAGACCTGGTGGCGTGGTTTCCAGCGCTGGGGAGATATTTCTTGCTGGGTTTGTAAAAATGATCTAAATGGATCCGACATTGTGGCCATAAAACATCTGTAACATTACACATTTAGTTATGTTACTAGAGACTTGAGTTCATTTTGATGGGCAGTATTTTATCTGCTACTTTTCCCCTTCTGAAAGCAAAGCTTTCTGTAGAGGAGGATTTATAGAAATATATTTCTAGTACAAAAAAAGTCATGCACATTAAGATGTTGGAGTAAAGGAGAAATAATGTCTTTTTTTGGAGACCTTGGCTGATTTATCTCTTACTTGGTAGTTTGATATGGCCTTCCTGGCTAGGAACAATATTTTTTTATTCTTCCTTTAATAACAATAATGTCAGTAACAATGTCTTGCACTATTCCAGCATCTTCAAATCAGACTTTCAGTGGGTTAGGCATTTAATGAGTGAAACCTCACAGGCTTCATTGAGCTGTGGGGATATATTTCTGTTCTTTTTGTGGAAATCAAGGCACATAGCACTCGATTGTGCAACGCACTCAACCTAATGAGGCTTCCCCAAATGCTGCGAGTTCAAATGTGTGCTTAAATGCTGAGCCCTGCAGTCTCCAGCTGAGCTCTCCCAAGACTCTGTGATACGTCAGTGCTGTGGAGACTGAAGTGACTTGCCCTGTGGTCACTGAGTGAGTAAACATCACACAGGGGAGACGAGCTCTTGGAGCTGTGTGCTGCTGCCTTCCTTTGGAAGAAGTATTGGTGTTTTCTCTTGCCTCGCTCCCACTCTTGGTTTGTGGCACAGCTCCTCAAGGGCCCTTTTATGCCCAGTCAAGGGTTGTTTGATCTGCTTTAGAGTGACAACGGTGCTGCTTTAATAATGGCTGGTGGGTTCCCTCCCTGGCAAGGGAAGCATCTCCCCTTTGTGAGCTGGAGGTGGGAGCGCTGCAATTCCTGTAATTCGCCAGCCCATTTGTGCAGGGGGGAAAGGATAAAAGCAAACACAGCGTTTCATAAAGCCGTGAGAGTATTTCAACAGCAGTAATAGGCAAATCTGGGCATTTTGCAACATTTTAGTGGTCTCTCATCAGAGGGAAAGCTCACCCTTGTGCAGAGCCTCGCAGCTCCATGGGCTTGATTCAGCAGATGAAGTCAAACCTGCTCATCAGTAAGTGATTGCCATGTGCAGCTAGAGCATGTAGATGAAATTAATCAAGGCTAAGGGTTAAAGTTTCCATTTGTTCTTTTCAGAGAAATCATCTGGAGTGTGTTGGGAAGGAGGTAAATTGCTTCACACATTTCTTATTCCTGCCTGTGAATTTTTCTTGTTTTAGTAGATTATCTAGAATCTTAGCAGAGGGCTCCCGTCACAGATTTTACAGGGTTATCATGAAAAATTAGTTGATACTGACTTAGAAGCATTTAAATTATGTCATGCTCTCTGTGCTGTAGAGGCAATAAATTTCTTTGGACTGGCCTCGGTGTTTGGGGCTGGAAGAATTTACAAACTCTTGCAGAATCCTTTTCCTATTCAGTTCAGGCTGTGTGGCTGGGTTTTGTTGAACTCTGAGTTACAGGACGTTCCTGAGCTTCCCAGGAGCATTTGTCACTCACCCTGGGGCGGGCTGGAGGTGTCAGCAGCTGTGTCCTGGCTCAGGTTCCTGCTCCTCTGCACAGGAGTGTGCCCCTCACTGTGTCCTGCACACCCTCCTGGGTTTGGAGAGCAGGGGCAGCCAGGGCCTGCTCCTTGTAGCGATCCACGATGAGAAATAAGGACTTGGGTTGTGTTTTGGGAAGCTGATGAGTTGGTTCTCCACTTCAGTCCATCCTGCTTCACCTTTAGAGCTGTGCTACAAACCGACCCTGAACATGCCTTGGGAACACTGTCCTCCAACATACATAAAACTGTGACAGCCAAAGGTTTCCTGGTTGTGTTTTGGGCGTGGCACAAGACGTTTCCTTGGGGAAGATGGTGTAACCTAGGTGAGGAATTGGTGCAGGGGTATGGCCAGTTAATCCCTGTTCCCATTGAGTACTACTGGCACGGCTTCCAAAGGGAGGTCCCTGGGCTGAATGCCATCAACCCCTTTCTTCCCCTCCCTCTTCTGCCTCCCTCCCTCTCTCTCTCTGCCTGCACAAGGTGAAGTTCTGCCAGTAGCCTGTAGATTGAGGACCAGAGCCTTAATTGCTTCCCACTGGGGCCTTTGTCCCTCATTACTTGGGCATTGCAAAAATCCCCCCTCTCAGTCACGTTGGGCAGTGCTCTCCATTTGTGGCCCTGAGATGTATTAATTTAAAAATAATTATCTTCGTTTAAAGTTATTAATGCCGTTTTTAAACACTGCTGAACAGTAATCAGGCAGGCAGGTTGGATAAGTTGTCTGCACTCAGTGAATATTTAGTTACCTTCCTACCATACCATGCACAAGGAGCTGAAGCAACCAGGGGGATTTAAATAGGATTGCTCTGCTCCCCTGCTCTTGCCGTGCCTTCTGTAACCTGTAAAAGAGTTAAGTGGAGCACAGGAGGTGGGAGCAGCCCTCAGGGATGTGATATAACTGGTTATAGCAGGCTGTGGGGCCAGGAGCTATTCCTGGGCTCTGGAGGGCTGAGCACTGGCTCTGGTGAATTTTACTGTATCGTTTGATATGAAGCTTGGAGGCAGATTTTGCTCAAAGGACCTGCTGAGCTCTCACAGCTGGGGCTAATTTTCAGGCTTGGCTCTGCCATGCAGGGAGCTCTGCGTGGTGCAGGTAAAGGTGTTGCTGTGCCTGGAGAGCTGAGGGTGGCTCAGGGGGGGTCTATGGAATGCTCCTGCCTGGACAGCAAACCCTTTTTTTGGGAACAGCCCCTTCCTGGGGGTGGCTGTGGGCCATGGCAGGCTGCCATCACCTGACTGTACCGGTGGGTGGGTGAGCGAGGGGCTGGTCCTCCCAGGGGGGAAATCAGGGACTTAAATCCAGTGGCAGTTGGGAAGATGGACCAGGAAGGGCTTTGCTTGGCCCCTGGCCAGGTTTGCTTGTAAAACTCCAAGGATGGCTTTGGCAATTGCTGCCAGTTCAGTCTTGGAAAAACCAGTTTGTGTGTTCTGCCTCCTGCTGATGCCACAGCCATCGAGGGAGGAAAATGCAGCACTG